AACGTTTGTTTAGAGGGGGAGAATGTAATGACCCGACCGGTCGTTTTTAGCTTTAGCATTCAGTTTGGTGGTTTGAGGTTTTGAGTAGTTTCATATTATGTATTATGACATGCGTGTATGGTGAGTTTCAATTTTCGAGCGATTCAAGATTGATTTTGAAGGATGATTCTCATTTTAGAAGCTTTAAGTTGGAAGAGTTGATCAAGTTTGACTTTTTGCGTATTTGATCTCGGATAGGAGTTTTGATGGTTCCGTTAGATCTGGATGGTGATTTTGGACTTAGTAGTATGCCCAGAATTGAATTCGGGGGTCCCTAAGTTGATTTGGCTTGTTTTGCCGAAAGTTGGCATTTAAGGCTTAGAAATTCCTTAAATTTGACCATGGTTTGACTTTATTGCTATCAACTTTGGATTTTAGTTTCTGGACTTGGAATGTGTTCGTTTTATCATTTGTCACTTGGAATAGGTCTGCAAAATTTGGTGTCATTCCGAGTTGGTTTGATCGAAATCGGACGCATGGTTGCGTTTCTAGCAATTCTTGAAGTTCATTGTGATTTTTATATGTTTTAGTGTCCGATTCATGGTTCCAGATATTACCTTGGTGTTTTAATCGCACGAGCGAATTGGTATGATATTTATGTACTTTTGTTAATGTTTGGTGTGGAGTCCCGGGGGCTCGGGTGAGTTTCGGACATGTTTCGGAGAGTTTAAGAGATGTTAAGATTTTTGCCGGTACAGTTCTCGCTTTGCGAGGAATTGGTCGCATTTGCGACCACCGCATTTGCAATTTTCTTCTCGCTTTGGGACCACCGCATTTGCGATTTTCTTCTCACTTTTGCGAAGTGGCTGAGGACTGTAGAGTTCGCTTTTGCGAATTCTGGATCACATTTGCGATTGGGGTTCCTGGGTGGGACTGCCACATTTGCGATCTCATGATCGCTTTTGCGAAGGGCCTGACTTCGCAAATTCAAAGTCAAGGTCGCATTTGTGACTTTCCTTGGGATTGTCAGGTGCTGCATTTGCGATGGAATATCCGCATTTGCGATGGAATATCCGCATTTGTGAGGGTTTGCAATTGCGAACCCCAGGTCGCTTTTGCATTGACTGCACCTCAACAAAAGGGCTGGAAAATGGGACTTAGCTTCATTTATCATATTTTAGAACCCTAGACTCGGTAGGAGACGATTTTGAGGAGGAATTTTCACATACAACTATTGGATGAGTTATTTTGATTCAATTTCAATTATATTACAGGATTATTTATGAGAATTAACATCAAAATCATGAGATTTGAAGAGAGTTTTTGGGAATTTTTTACTATGTTTTGAAAAATAAAAATTTCAAATTGGACTCGGATTTGAAAACAAAATACGTATATGGACTCGTGGGGTTATGGATAGTCGAGCTCTACCTTTGGACTCGGATTTTGACCGGCCAGGCCCGGGTTTTATTTTTGATGACTTTTAGGTAATTGTGTAAAGTTCTTAACTTTATTAATCGAAATTTGTTACTCTTGCATTGTTTGATGATATCATGTCATTTTTTGTTATATTTGAGTTGTGCGGAGGTGAATTTTAACAAAAAAGCCATTTTGAGTGTTGATTTTGTCTAGCTGAGGTAAGTATCTTGCGTAACTTTGTGTGGAGGAAACTACCCCGTATGATTTCGTTTAATTGCTCTACTTGAATTATGTGAAAGACGTATACACGAGGTAACGAGTATGTACACGGACTTATATGTTAAAATTGACCGGCTTAGACTCTTAGGTTAGTTTTATGCATTTAATTAAAGTTGTTGTCACATGTTATATTTCCCATTGTCGGGTTTATTCTTATATGCATTTAATTGAAGTTTTCATTACATGTTATATCTTCCATTGTCGAGTTTATTCTTATGTGCATTCAATTGAAGTTGTTATTACATGGAATATCTTTCATTGTTGAGTTTATTCTTCCGTTTCATTGTGTTGTTGTTGGGACTCTTGTATACATTGCTGTTGAGCTGTGGGCTATGCGTTGTGATATTGGTATTGTTGTTTTTTTTGCAATTTTGATATATATATATATATATATATATATATATATATATATATATATATATATCGGGTTTGCGCATCTGGCGAGACAAGGTAGGATAATTTCGATAAGCGTGTGGCGAGACAAGACGGGTATTTACTTTATTATTTCACACGCAATGAGACAAGGAGGGCTATATCAAGGATGATACGTGATGGCCTGGGCATATTATTGATGATGTTCGTATGGTGGTGTGACTTCCTTGTATGTGTCATGCATATTACGTGATTTTGTTGTGTTATTTCCAAATTGATACTCGGTATCTCTGATATTACTTGTTGATTTCAGCTGTGCTCGTACACTTGCACATGCATACACCGTGACATGTCATCTATACTTGTCCATGAGTATGAATATTGATGTCCATTGTCATGTGCATGTATTCTTGTATATCTGCCTTCTGTGCGTGGATTGGACTGGTAGCCCGTGAGTTGTCCATGCGGATCTGAGACATTATTACTATTGGCACCTGAGTTGTCCGTGTGGATATGAGATGTTATTATTATTGGCACATGAGTTATCTGTGCAACACATGAGTTATCCATGCGCATGCGAGATATTGCTGTTATTGGTACGTGAGTTATCCGTGCAGTTGTAATAGATAATGTGGGGCACGAGGTGTCATGTGTATATGATTTGTGATTTAGGACTCGTGATTTTTGGTAGTTGAGGTGTGGTACCTCGTGGTGATTCTAGTTGTAATTCTTGTGTCGGAAAGGTTTGATGGGTAGCATTGTCGTTGTTATCTCTTAATTGCTATCACTTGCATTTTATTTGTATTTTGATTATTTTTCTGATTTATCACATGATTATCCTTTGTTGTTATTTATTTATTTCCGTTGTTAGCTTTATATTGATATTCTGCACAGGTTATTCGATTAGTATGTGTTTTGACTTGAATCTCATTACTATTCCACCGAAGTTAGTCTTGATACTTACTGGGTACCACTATGGTGTACTCATACTATGCTTTTGCATATTTTTGTGCAGATCTAGGTACCTCAGAGCGTGCGGGACGTTAGTTAGCTGTTTGTGATTTGTTGCGGAGACTCCAAGGTATACCTGCCATTGTCCTCGCAAGCCTCTGAGTCACCTTTTGTTGTCTTTCATTACTATTGTTTATTTTCATTCCAGAATAGTATTGTATTTAGAGATTTTAATATGCTCAGTAGAGCTTATGACTATGCACTACCGGTTTTGGGGTTGTATGACTGTTGTTCAGTTTAGCTATGTTATTTCAGTTATCAGTTAATGTTTTGTAGTTAAGCTGATTATGTATGTTAAATCTCAGCATGTGTTAAGTTTACCTAGTTCTAGGGACTAGGTGTCATCACGATCCATAAGATGAGATTTTGGGGTTGTGATAGAGGTGGCTTTTCCCGGATGAAACGAAAATTGAATTCATGTAACAGGAGAAAGATTTCCCATTCCTTAGCAGAAGGATATGTGGCCATGAAAGAGGGATTAAGTGGAACAGAATTGACTGGGTGGTAGAGTCGTGGAAACGCTTGTTTCTTCCATATTTTGGACCTTATCTCCATGGAAGAATATGTTACTGCTGAAACACGGAAGAATTGAAATCTTAGATCAAAACACTATGTATGGATGGTATGAACTGCCTAAACAAAAATTCTTAAACAACAAACAACCAATTCAGAGATTCACGACCAAAAAGTACTGGATTCTCTTTCTGATTAGAGGGCACTAATATACAGGAACAAAGAAGTGACAAAACATAATACCAAGCCATAGTGCTCTCTTTTAATATTAATAGTCAGGTTAGTATCCATCAAATGTCTCATTAACATTTTGCTTAAATTTTTAAATTGCAGTAAGCTTGTAATATTTTATCCACCCCATAATTGTAGAACGTAAAGTTCGTTCTCTTTTCCCTTCTCTCTATAAGTTGAGGTTTTCCAAGTATCTTTTCTGGCATATTATACTTTTCTTCAAATTTTGGCGTTAGAAAACATTACTAATTTTGTTAATGAAAATTGGTTTGAAATCTGACATTTCTGAAAGATTGGACGTGTAACTCTCCATTTGTCACAAATTAGTTGGTTGGCTAATTTGATTTCTTCGGTTCAGGGAAGAATAGCTTCGTATGAAAATGAAACACTTATTGATACGCGGCGCCTTCCTGAGATTCCTTGGAAGGGCGACGTACGGCTAGGCAACTGATGTCAGTGCAGTTGCTGTTCGCCAACTGAGGTCCCCTCCGTACGCTAGACGAGATTGTCAGTGCCGTACGGAAAAACCAATATCAAGAGCAATTGAGAGAACAGAAATGAGAATTCAGAATGAAAGAAAGCTTGATTGCATTAATGAAAACTATTACAGAAAAGCAACGCGGTGTCGAGGGGGAGAGACACCAGTACAGAGAATTGCTTGCTTGCTAGAAAGTTTTGATTGCTTGATCCCCCCTAATAGTACTTAAAAAAAATAATCCAAAGTTACAGGAGTAGACCTAATTAAGCTAGAGAAACATAATGGAAGTGCATGAAATAAACTACTCTATATTTACAATGAAAATGACTTAGTTTTCTATAAGGCAGCAGCAGGTCCGTTGTCAACAGCAGTGTCTTTGGCATCACGGTCTGCGCGCGCGGCGCTGTTGGCTTCTGCCTGCGGCATGGCGCTCGCGAGGGATATCGGTGGGGCGACAGAGGCACCTGCGCGCTTGTCACTTGGCGCGGCCAAGACCACGGAACCGTCCGTGGCGCTAGGCATTGGGAGGATCGCTAGGACGCCACGAGGCGCGCCCAAGGGGTCATGGGGCATGGCTGGAAAGCCGCCCATGACATTATATATGGAGTACTTGGTTTTACATAGATAACGGGATAGTGGACTGTTTCAGTAAAGACAAAGTCATGCTTACTCTAAACAAGTAAAATTGACAGCCACTAAATCGAAGGCTAATTTCACCAATGCTCAGTCATTACTAATTCCGGAATAGAAGGCCAATATATAGCGAACAAATATGAGATCCGTAGTGACAAATTTAACTTATACCCAAAATCCATTAGAATCTCATTTCCTGCTACTAAATTGTTTTTGTTTTTACTCCGATGTCCCGATTAACTAGATTTGCGCCGCATAAGACCATTAAAAAAAAAAACTATCTCCACCATAATTTTTTTCATTACCAGAACTCAAATTCAAGACGTCTAATTAAATATGGAGAAATCATATTCACCCTATTGTAACCCTTAATTAATTACTCTAGTATTTATCAGTTAATGCATTTCTTATTTCTTTTTATTTCCCCCGTGAATTAATGCATTTTTGTTAATGTTTTTCTTAAATCATAGGGAAGCAGTTTTCAAACGTCCTTACCTTTTTTGTCCGTCTTTAAAGTGAGCCATTCGCTTGAATAATTTCTCTCCCTCTATAAATATCACGACCAACATCTACGTACATCCTCATTCCATTCTTGTTTTTCTTCTAACCCCTTCTACTATTTTGAGATCCCAAAAATGGAGAATTTAGATGCCAAAAATATGCCAAGCCCACCACTGAAACCTTACAAATGTTTGTTGAAGACCCAAATTTTCCTGAGAATTTTGGCAACTGCATTCACATTGGCGTCCACTTGGATTATTCTCACCAGCAAGCAGACTGTCACTGTCTTTGGACTTGAGATGGATGCTCGATATAGCTACTCACCAATTTTCAAGTAAAGAATATGAAAAAGCAAATCTTTGGGTTTTTCCTTGAAATTTCTGAATTTGATTTAATATATATCTTCTGATTTTGCTGCTTATTTAGTTTTGTCTGGTTCTCTGCAGGTTTTTTGCGTTTGCAAATATCATTGGATGTGCCTTCTCTGTTTTGTCCCTGTTTCTTGCCTCTGTTTTAAGCCATAAGTGTCTTGACCCAAAGAACTACTTTTACATGTTCCTTCATGATTTGGTACGTCCAATTTGTTTTGGTAGCTTGAATGTCCATCTTTCTAGTAGTATACTCATTGTGTTTATTACTATAAATTGTTAGTAGATCTGGGAAAAGTTGTTGACCAATTGTGGACTTATGCAGACTCAAAGGTAAATGTAAGTCCATTTGGGGGTCTGGAAAAACCATACTTTACTTGCAAGCTTGTAACGTCACGCAATATTGGCATTAAATGATTTGTTTCTTTTCTTATGAGGCCTAAACTTAGACGTCATTTACAATGCATTTCCCTAATTGTTGATTAGTTTTGAGGGAAAATAGCATGTTTGGCCAAACTTCTCCAAGTGCTTTTTATTCAAAGATGATGTGTTTGGCTAAACTTTTGGAAGAAAAAAAAGTGCTTTTCAAAATATACTTAGAAGCAGTTTTTGGCCAAACACTAAATGCTACTCAAAAGTGTTTTTCAAATTAATTAGTCAAACACAAGCTGCTTCTCACCAAAAGTACTTGTAAGAAAGCACTTTTGAGTAAAAATACTTTTTAAAATAAGCTGATTTTTGCAGCTTGGCCAAACATGCTATAAAAGTAGTAGATATTGGTATAATGGTGCTAGCTAGTGTGAATGTATGACCTTTTTCTTTTTCTTTTTTTGTTTCTTTTTGTTGGGCCCCTAAGAACTTTGAAACACATGGTCTTTGGATTTAATTTAGGTTTACGCTGTCGGTATAATTTAACATGTTGTATTAATATGTAAGCTTCCTTATCTTTTTAGGTTATTAATCATACTTTTTATGGACGGTTTATTTATAATTATCTCTAGGTAACATAGTAGTGTAATATTTTGTTTACACGTATCAGTATATACATAGTAGTGTAATATTTTGTTTACACGTATCAGTATACACAATAGTTAAACTGTTACTCTTTTATAAGCCATACATTTCTACTATAAACTTAGTATAAATTTGAAGCAGTAATGTGAATGTTGGAATTTTGTTGTGAGGACAGATTGTGATGGCAGTGCTGCTAGCTGGATGTGCAGCAGCGACTGCAATTGGATATGTGGGGAAATATGGAGAGAGCCATTCGGGATGGATGCCCATTTGTGATCATGTCTCAAAATTCTGTCACAAGGTTACAGATAGCGTCATGCTCTCCTATTTTGCTGTGCTTTTCTACCTCTGTCTCGCTATAATCTCCGCAAATCAATCTAGACAGATCCAAGTTTAACACAGTTTAGAAATATCTTAATTAGCAGTGATGAAGTCCAAAAAGGTTGGTTTAGCTGCAACATAACATAGCAGAAGTAGAAACCAAAAACTGAGCAACTAATGGTTTATTCTTCACTATTTTGAATTGATGCAAGGCTATTTAAGGGATACCCGAGTCCTGAGAGCTGACGATTAAATGAAGCTGGAGATAATTGTTGATCTCAGGATTATGCTCAATTTCAAAGGCCAGTTGCGCGTTGTGTGATCTTAGCAATTGTTATACTGTTCTGAATTGATGCAGCTGATCAATTGCTCTTTCGTATTTTGAGTTCAGCCCTATTTAGCTCAAGTTATTTTTGCTTTTCTTTTATCTTCTTTTCAACTAATTGTATGGAATCTAACGTCACTTGTTTGTATGCTCAAACGATTTTTAGCTCAAAAAGTAAGAACAAAACAATTCCTGCAAAAACCGCTGAGCCAACGAAATGGCAAAATCACAAATAAAATGGCGCATGGGTTCCTGAGTCTTAATTAGGTATTAGGTTCTACACAACGGAGACATGAAACACAACCATCTTGATCTTGGCTTTACAACTTGTATTGGGTGATACCCTTTTTTGCTTGAGCCCGACCGGGTTGGGTCCGGTCCGGAGCAAGTCGGGGCCATCGAACCCGACCTGGATGCAAGGTAGAACGACGGCCACGTCTACAACCGAGGTCGAGTCATTTCGAGACCGTTACAGAGCTCGATATGAGTCACCACCGGATGGAGAAACACACAAGGTCGGAAGCCGGACTCGTAACGGATAACCAAGCGTCGCCGGATATCTCGCCCAAACGTGATTTTCTCAACCACTTCAGGCCATTAAGGCGTAATTACAGGGATCCACGACGTAATCAATTGACCTACCTTATTTTTACCCTTAATCAGAATGTATAAAAGGGGATCTCTCTAAATTCTTAGAGGCATGAAGGACAATCGTTCTAAGCAATATTATATTCTGCGATTATTTACTTTAACAGCAATTGTTGAGTCTTTATCTTTTTTTTTCTTAACCTAAACCTTTTGTATCTTTTAGTTCACGGATCCTTAAAACCCCATATAAATTCAATTGTTATCCGGATTTGAGGGTAAACACAACTAACACAACGCTATTAAGTTAGGTAAATGGGCTATTAGTTTCAGTTTGATCAAGGAAAACACAGCTCACACGCTACCATTTCAACAAATGAAGTGAGAGGCTTGAAATTCCAACAACAAAATATATATAACAAGAGAATCAGAGATACCAAATTTTATGTGGAAAACTTTTTCTATGCAAAGAATACACATTATAGGACCTAGCGTTATAAAAGTACCCTAAATTGGTCACAACACTAGTGCCACGTAAAGAGAGACAGATGTCAATAATAGCAACAACAAACAAGTGAAAAATAAGAAATACTTAATCACCCAAAAACGAGCTACAGTTTTTGGCTCAAAACATGTAGCTAAAGACCTCTAAAGCACGATTACATTTTTCAAATTGAAGAACAAGATGTCAGAAACTCCAATTAAAAATTTAATTCTCGATCCAATAGTGACGAATTAGAAAATTGTTGAGAATTGGTGTTTGGAGATTAACAAAGGGTGTTGTGAACGCGTGCTAAGAATCAGGTCCTCAAGGTGGTTGGTGAAGTATGCTAAGAACCAGGTCCCCAAGGTAGCTGCTGAAGGTTCTTACAAGGCAGTAATTTTGGCACAGAGTTACTACAGTCCGAGATTGCGGGAAGAAGGCGATTAATATAACAAGAATATATGCTCGCATGAGTGATAGACAAGAGTCACGACATTCGTGGAGCCCCTTAAGCTTTAGGAGTCCTATCAAATGAGAAGTTGACTGTGCACAGTACTCCCAAAGATCTCGAAGTACTGGGAAGTTAAATATTTTCCTGATGGACCGGGGCATCATCCTTTTGCACGTCAGCTGTGGCACAATCAACACTCAAGTCGATTACTAGTCTTAGTGTTCTTCTTGAATCTGTTAGTTTATGTGTATTAGGAAATCTAGTTGTAATCAATATGTCATTCATAATCTGTTAGTTGGAGTAAGTGTTTGAGTGTGCAAGTTAGAGTAACTTGTAATTCATTCAAATAGTTGAAGTGGATAATTCTGGGGGTATTGATTTACAAGTCTTGTAATCAGTACATTTGGCTCATTTGTTCTAGTGAAATTGAAGTTAAAATCCTACGGGGTAGTTCGTGATTTTTGCACCTTTGAACCGAGTGACTTTCCACGTAAAAATTGTTGTCCTTGTTCTTACTCTTTATTCCGTTTAACTTAAGAAGTAAGGCAAAGAATCAAGTTCTTTAGTAATTTAGGACGACACTCAAACTAACAAAAATGCAATTTCAAGCTAAGATGGTCACAAAAAAATTCTACGGTAAAAAATGATCTCTTCCTCTCTCTTCTTACGTCACTCCCACACCAAAAACAACAAATAAAAGTTCAAGGCAAACCTTCTTGTAATTGGAAACGAAAACGAAACCAAAAAGGAATCAGAAATTAAACCCAAACTAACTGCAAAGAAATTCGAAAATGATTATTAGCGGATTTGGCTGGAAAGTGGGTGTGGTACCAACAGGGTAACAGTTATTGTCAAGAAAGAAAAATAAAAGAGAGAATTTGTTCGATCAAACATTACTCCCCACACGGGACACCCGTGATCAATTCTCCTCATCAGCAGTCTACTCAGTCAGAGCTCATCGCACCGGGCTTGCCTAGAGTGGTTTGCATCTCTTGTGTGATTTACGAGCAATTGCACGGTGAGCAGGTTACCCAATGCACACCCAAAGGATAGCGACTGCAAATTTCCCCGGGAATTTTCCAAAAAATAAAATAAAATATAGTTCAACTCTACCTTTATTTAAAATCGCGAGTTCTTGTTGATTTGAATGGAAAGATAGTACTCCTTCATTTCCCATTTACTTGGCACGGTATTCTTTTTAGTACATCCCAGACGAATGATATTTTTTTATGTTTAGAAAAATTTAACTACGGCTTATCTCAGACAAATTTTAAGAAAGATTTTTTTTTTTTAAAACTCCGTATTTGGTCAAACAAAGCCGGAGTATAACGTAGTCGATCACTTTTGGTACATACAAATAAGTGCGAAAAAGCCTTTGTATAAAGAGTTCTGCGTCATTTTCCTTTCTTTTGAAATTTTGGTCACTGACTGCAGGAAAGCTTGATGGACTTTTTCAGTGGGGTTGTTCTTGCCCGTTTGGACATAAAATTTGACGGAAGATTTTTCCAAAAAGATTTCACTTTTTTTCGTAATCATCGTTTGTTCATAAAATTTTCAATTTTCACTTGAAGATGCATTTTAGAAATTTTCGAAAATTTGAAAAACTGCAAAAAGCTGTTTTTCAAAATTTTACTCAAATCACTCACAAAACTTCAAAAATAACCCAAACTGAAATTTATGTCCAAACACAACTCTAAATTTCAAATACTATTTTCACTTGAAATTTTTTTTCGCCAATTTTTCGAATTTTACAATTCTTTTGTCCAAACGCCTACTTATTTTTCTGTGTCAAAATTGAGCAATTATTAGGTTAACAAAAGGAAATTTGAAAATGAGAAAAAGGTTCTCTGGGGGAATAAGGCTAATCTGCAGGGGAAAAATATGGAGATCTAGTTCTCAGGGAGAACTTTTAATTCTAAGTTTGTCATCATCAAAAAGGGCGAAATTGATATGTTATGTGCCTTTTTGTTTTGATGATTTAACAAATGTCATATGAGAACCAGATAGAGAACCTGATACAAAGCCTCTCTTTGCTCAAAAGAATAAGTCACATGTCTGGAACAAGTCCCGATGAAATCAGTTAAGGGAATGGCAGATGGAACAGATGGATATCAGTTCCTCCGACACTGTACAAGTCAACTCTTTACATCTGTTAAAGCTGCTGCATTGCAGACGAAACAGTGCAGCAGTCATTGTTGAAGCATGTTGTGTACATGACAGTTGCTGGCATCATCCTAGTGACTTCACTTATATGTTCCCAACATGAGACAACGGATTAGATACACTTGCAAATCCTAAAACACAATTTACTCTCAAGTGTGTAGCCGCCTTTATTTACTCCAATGGATCGAAGAACAAAGTAGCAACAAAACGAAAGACTAGATCCCAGCATTGAGTACATTGTGTGTCCTTAATATTGTTGTATCTTTGTTAATATTTGTGGCTCAATTTATGTAGCTAAAAATCTCCAAGCACGATCTCCATTGTTGAGATTGGAGAACAAGATGTTACCGGGGCAGCCGAAGGATATATAAGGCTTAAAGCCATTGCTTTAGGCCCCCCATCTTGAAAGGCCCCTTTTTTTTCTCCTATTATTTATTATTATATATTTTTATAAAGTTATCAGTAATAAAATGATTCCAAATTTTATACTTCTATTGTTGGAATGTAATTTAGCTTCTTCAGTTGAATGAACTTGAATTTATAAACATAGACTATGAAGAGAGAAGTGATCACGCCCAACTATGCCTTATAAAAAGGACAACGCGGTCGCTGCAAATATAATCCGGTTTACAAGTCCGGAGTCGAATCCCACAGAGAACTAAGGTTTAGCTACAGCTGTTCACTATCACCAAGAAGACAAGCTTGAACAATTCCTAACTTATAGATATTAAGATTCTTCTGTTTAACTAATTAACTAACAAATTAAAAATAGTAAATTAACAACTAACAATACTGAGGGTTAGAGAAAAGATTAAGGAGGTCTAGAGTTATGATTTCCCCAATTGTCGGAATCCTTCCCGCTATGTCTTCTATAATTTCGCCTAAGTATTCTCTACCGATCATGAGCACTCTTATTACCGTAAATCTCTCCCGAGTAATTACGATAATTTACTAGACGCACTCTCCCGAGCTACGCTAGCTGGCTTTTAATACAGCTCACTTCAGATCGCACCCAAGACTTCGTTATCCCTAATCCCACCTTTAAACCCTCGGTTATTGATCCCTCATATACTCTGGGAGTGGTGTTGTTCAACAATTACCTAAATATGCACTCTCTCCCGAGTTATGCATACTAAATAGGCACAGCTAATTGAGAGCTCTTCAACCAACCACAATATAAACGTAGTTGAACAAATAGAGAAAAGCTATGGCTCAATTATATAAAAACATAACAAGAATTTATCCTACAAAAGGTTCTATCAAAATTCTAGAGAACAAATTAGCTATTCATAATAGTATGTAAAACTACAATACTAAAAGTCATAACCAACAATGAAAAATAGGAAGAGGAAGGAAAAACTTGTAGAAGAATTCTCCGCCTTGCTCCCAATGTGTTCT